TCATCCAGCAACTGTACCTTCCCTCGTTCATTAGCTGGCTTATTCATCCTGACAGTCTTCTCATCATCATCACCATCACAAATTGATGATGATGATGACGACGACGAGCGGAAAAGTGGCGATGGTAGTGACGATTTGACGACCTTGTTAGATGTTTCCGATACGGATTTCACGACAACAACATCATCGTCGTCGTCGTCGTCATCTTCATCATCGCTGATAACACTTTCATTTTTATCACCAGAATCCACCTTATTAGTACCTCTGAATTTCTGCTGCGGGAACCTCAATCTATCATCCTTTTTTCGTCTCTTGGTGAACTTCTTTAAACGCTGCCTAACCCTTTTGCTCTTGAACCTATTACCACTGATATTACTGTTGCTGTTGTTAGTTGAGTTTTGCCGCCCAACATCATCCACTTTAGTGGCTTCATTATCGTCAGCATAGACATTTAAACAAGTAGATAGGGTTTTATTTTCTTTGGTATGGCGGACATCGTTCGTAGAGGCTGAGTTGTCGTTGGTATCGTTGGTTCCTCCTAAATTAATGAATGTAATAATGTAACGGCTATGATTACTAAAATACTAAGATTTTTAACGTTATGCAAATATGAGGGTAGCAAATGAAATATACTATGAATTATACTATAAATTATATTATGAATTATACTATAAATTAAACTATGAATTATACTATGAATTATACTATCAGGTTGTAGAAAAGTTTAAGACTCTGTCTGAAGTGAGTGACTAACCGCCTGAACAGTTGGAGTCCTGCTTTTTGAAAGTTAAAATTTAAAAAAACACGAATGAATTAGAGGTAAATTTATCAATATAATTAATACAGAATGTATAAAAATAGCAAAGACATGATCGAGGCAGCGTAAAAGTGAAAGAAAAGACGTTCTATCCTATGCTACAGGGTTCAAACGCAAACAGATCTCGAGCCTACCTACCTACATACCTTCCTATCTATAACAAAAAGTTAGTATGATGCACTCACTCATTAACACATAATCATGTTTGCCGTGCATTGTCTTTGTTGAGAGAGAGAGAGAGTGAGAGAGAGAGAGAGAGAGAGAGAGAGAGAGAGAAAGAGAGAAGTAGAAAAATCGTGAAAAAGAGAAAAATAGAGGAAAGGAAGAAAGAAGAGAAAGAGAGAGAAAAAATTAAAACAACACGTACTTTTGAAATTGGCTGACTGTTATCGAGACCAAGGAAGGACCTGGCGTCGATTCGAACAGGTTGGGCTGGGGCACTGAAAAATGCCATTCTATTTTTGAAGGCAGCTAACGTTGACGGCTGCTGTTGTGATGATTGCTGCTGCTGCTGCTGCTGTCTGCTCGGTGATAACAAATCCTGCGACGAATCTTGCTGGTCTTGCGGTTTAAATCTCTTAACCCCAACATCATCATCATCACTACAACGATCATCATCATCAACTTCTGTATCAGTTTCCCAGTCGGCATCGCTACCACCAGCGCCGCCAAGTTCTGAATTAGATTCCACTGAGACGTACGAATCTACTTTCACTTTCCTTTTCAACGTTGAGCCATCGGAAGCAGCAGTAGTAGTATCAGTAGCAAAAGTGCTGGCGCTATTCACAGCAGAGCTATTCATAATGGCACCAGCAACATTAGCATAATTAATGAGGTTATTTGAGTTGGCGTTTGTGTTGCCTCGAGGTTGTTGCTGATACTGCTGTAGTAGGTGTCGTTGGTAGGACGATGACGATGTTGTTGTCGTCAAGAAAGAAGACGACGACGATGAAGATGATGCGAAATTTCGAAGTGTTAGCTGCTGCTGCTGCTGTGGATGTTGTTGCTGTTGGTACCAATTAACGTCCGGTTCCTCTTCCGATGGCTCGTCAATCAAACGCTGTAACTCCTCCTCCGATGTGGAACTGAATCACGTGATGACAACAAAGACAACGACAATAACGCTATACATCAACATCAACAAAAACAACCAGCACCGCCAAAAGAACATACGCAGCAACAACAGCAACAACAACAACAACAGCAACAACAACAACTACAACTACTACAACTAACAAATCAGTCTCGGACCTGGAAGCACGGAAACTATCGTTGCAGATATTGTTGTGCCTCATCAGCTGATCTTCATCCTCGCCAATCTCACTTTCGGTCGTGTACTCAACTCTCTCCGGAATTCCCCGCTTTCTATTTTTAGACTTTATCGACGATGATTT